TATGGCAACCCATTCCAAAGGCCAACCACCCTGTTAGAAAAATGAAACTGTCTTAGCTGAAGATGACTCCTTCTTTGCCAAAATTTATATTTGTGTCCCCTAGTCTGACTATTCTCACTGTTAAATATGAAAAACGATGATGCATCAACACTATCAATTCCCTTTACAATCTTAAACACTTCAATCAGATCCCCCAACTCTTTTTTTTTTTTTTTCAAGAGAAAACAATTTGAGAGATTTCAGCCTCTCCTCGTATGACAATACATTCATCCCAGGCACCATTCTAGTAACCCTTCTATGAACCCTTTCCAACAATTCAATGTCTTTCATAAGGTAAGGAGCCCAAGACTGAACACAATATTCCAAATGTGGCCTAACCAGTGGCCTGTAAAATGAAACCGAACAGCATATGCTTTTGTTACTCAGTATCATGATTCACTTTCTGTGTACTTTTAATCTTAAAATCAAACTATCAACAATCAGATAACTACTAATTAATTTTTGCTATTTACTTTAAACTTTGCAAAGAAATATCTATAGATGAATGGTAAAAAGCAATTTTTCAGTGATTTGAATACTTTCTTAGTAACACCTTGAAACACCAGTATGAAATAGGGTGGATTTTAATGAAGAACTAACAGCTTTTATGTAACATATAGAACTCAGTAGTGGAAAATGATATCCAGTTTGAGCTTAAGAACACAAAATACACAGTAATCTTTGAGATGACTTACTTTTATTTCCTTATAAACCTTTATTTTATTTGTCTGTGTAAAATAATACATTTTTTTTAAATAGTAAAGGCAAAAGTTTGCATTCTAGATAAACAATGGATTAATTTTCACAGAAATTTTAATTCACTGTGAAGTTGGTCAGGAAATTAGGTTTTGTTTTTGTTGAATGTTAGAGTTTAATATACAAATATTTTGGTACTATTATATATAAGCTGAGGTACCCATCCTTTGTCTGGGTTATTAACTTAAAAAATGTGGGGTGGATGCTATGATAAATAACACAGAAATCCTAACATTCACCAATTTACTTGTAACATGTCCCCCAGCGCTACTGTTGTAACTACACAGTATTACAATGCTAAAATCAGGGGTTCAATTCCCTTTGGTGGACACAGCAGATAGTCTGATGAGACTTTCCTATAAGAAACTACACATTTATATCATATTACAGTATTCATTATTACCTCACCAAAAGTTTTGTAAAAATTTAAGTGTTTTACGGGCCAAAGTTGAAAAGTCATGGGTCAAAGTAGGAAGTTGGTATAACTCAAGAAATGACTCCTCATATCACCCTTGTGGTGGCTATTTGAGTAGAAACTTCAGCTCAGTTTATGTAGTATTGCAATATTGGCAGCCATTTTTTTTTCACTACATACTTCCTTGGAGAGTGCTAGTGCACTTTTTAAGATATATAAAATGTTTGTGTGCCCCCCCCCCCCACTATGTTGTTTTATCAAAAATGAATAATTTTATTTTTATATTTTGTTTAATGACATGGCACCATCTATGTATGTAGTTAATGTTAACTTATGTCAATGATAATAATTGCTCAATAATAATAGCAATAATGGGGATTGTGAACCCTCCATTAACTTGCCCTTTATTCTAACTATCATCTCACAAAGTTTGGCTTAGATTGGCCTAGTGACATAGTAGTTAGATAACACAGACAAACTGACACAGATAGATAAAAGCAGCACACATTTAATATAAAATTATTGTCTTTACCTTATCTTTTTTATTAACATTTTCAGACAATAAATCCAGCTACAGATTTCATTTATGTTAATAGTCACTAGGTATTAATGATCAAATTTTACAATTACTATACTGTGTACTTCAAAATCTCTTCACTGCAGCTTCAATCCATTTCCCGAAACAGAATTACAGAATACACCATTGTTATCTGTGTATTTGATGGACATAATTGTAGACTACACCATTATT